GTCACACAGGACAAGAGTCTCCATCAGTTTACAAATGTCTTAGTAAATTACAAGAAAAAGGCAATCTTAACAGTGGCCTAATCTCCAAAAACCTATAGACTTAGTTTCCTGGAGCCCCAACATCACCCTCCCCTCCACAGTGATGTGGGGAACAAAGGCGAGAAGAAAATGGTAGGTAAAATTAAATTTCCTTATAACCTGCAGCCCATTGACAAATACTGGAGGTACACAGAGTATCACATTTCTCTAGGAACCCCCTACTGTCTTAATGGGTCCCTTTAGCATATGAAAGTCCTTCTGGAGGCCTCTCTTTTGCCTTTACCTCCCCCCAGCTCCATAGTATATAACCAGGCACTCTTCACAACCCTAGAGCAGCTCTTTCAGCCCATGGGTCCTGTCCCTATCCATGGTTTAATAAAATCACCTTTTGGCCCCAAAGATGTCTCAAGAATTCTTTCTTGGCTGTCAGCTCTAGACCCCCACCGCTCTGAAACCCCATCAACGATCATTTCAACATGTAATCAATATAAAAAGACATACATTTCTTTGTACTATGTTTTTGAAATCTGGTGTGAATTTTACAATGACATCCCACCTCAGTTCAGACCAGCCACAATGCAGGTGCTCGATAGCCCCATGTGACTAGTGGCCACTGAATTGGACAGCAAAGGTCTGGGGAATGGTTTCCAAACTCTGTCACTCTGTCTGTCCCTGTTATTGCACTGATGTTTGTAGTTTCCCAAGGAACATTTTCACCAATCTGCAGCAAAATGAGAAAAATGTGAATCATATATTTTAATATATAAGGTGAATGTAATGCTTGTCTTGTGGGAGGGAATGCATGGAGATTCTCCTTCTGACCTTGTCGGTGTTAATATGTTGGTCTTAGCAGATGACAGATTATTGATCAAGTGTTCTTATTTTGCAAATAAAACATTTGCAATTCTCTCCAGCGCCCCACGCTTCATGTGCACATTTTACTGGTGGTGTGTGTGCATTAAATCCTGGGAGCCAGCAGACCAGGTGGCTTTTTCTTCTCGCTTAGACAACTGATGGCCACAAATGGAACTATGCTTGTGTGGGGAGACTACTGGGCACGGCTCACCACGTCATTGCTACACCTTTCTGTCTGCCTCACGGAAGCATCAGGAAATGCAAGCGAGCGAGCGTGCAGCCAATAGAGGGGGTAGCCGTGGATTTACTCTAAAAACCACAACTCAAAGAGTAATCGTTAGCAAAACCCATTTCTTAGCAATCCTTAGTCACAAGTTACTACTCGACTGAGCCTACAGACTTTGTTGCCACACACCTGCAAGATGGCATATTGCAATTTCATGTGGTTGGTTTTTAATGCAGAGCCATGGAAGCCGATGGAATCCTGAAAGAGAAGCCACTGTTTTATCGGCAAAGTCTTTAATGTTCCCCCGAGCTTTACATCAGGCCGTGTCTGAAGGGGTGCTGGGTAGGTTTGTCTCATCGTGTACGGCTAGGGAATGGCGGTAACCAGGGCTTTCCCCTCTGTACACACGGGAGGCAGGTCTATCTGTAGTAGCTCCAGATTGCAGTCTGGCCTCTCCACCTGCTCTTCTCTGACTGGTGACCCCCGTGGCTCCCCTATCTGCCTTGCATGTCCGGGCAGGTCAACAGCCCTATCCCGGGCTTTGAGACTGATCTTCAAGGTGCCCTTAAAATATGCCTTCTGGCCACCTTGCTTATAAATGCGAGCCTTTAGCTCTCTCGTGCAGCAGTCACTAGGGTGCTTAGTAGCAGTCATGTTTCTTTCTCACATATACACATAAACCCCCTTTGTGCTCGGGTTGGAAGATGGAAAATAACCCTAGCAAACTGAAATTTTGTAAATCAAACAGTTTTGATTGCTCTGTGAGCTCACTATTTAGGAAATCCTATGGCAAATTCTTTTGTAAGTGGAGCCATCGGACTTTTGTCTGTTTTAAAAATTCAAGTTTTAATACATTATCTTGCCTGAGGGGGGTGATTGCCCTTGTATTTATTAAAAAGATGCAAAGAAAAGATAGAGTCTCTGGTGCTCGCCCTCCATATTTAAGTATTTAAATAGTGGTGTGTAATCACAATTATCCAGCTCGCAAGCGAGCAATTACACGAAGTATTAATGAAAGGACCCTAGTCAAAAACTGTGCCCAAGGGAAGCTTTTTCCTGCAAGTCAGGGTTAATGGCCCAGCCATTGTTTTAATGGATTTTCAGTGAGGTGTGAGGATGACAGGCCAATGAGGGTAAAGTTTTATGATACTGCTAAACAAGCACAATTAGCGACTTGCCTTTAGTATCCTGACCTTTCTGTTTATGTTTCTTTGCAACCCTGAGTGTTTACTTATTAATTGCTGTTTGACACAATTCAGAGAGCCTTTGTGAACTCAGTACAGGTGCCCCATCTTTGGCTGCTTTTGTGGGGAGGGTATTTCTAAAGCCCCTTCCCCAAACAAGTTTCAGTGGCGAGCCTGACATTATGGACTCTGTTTCTGCTCTCCACAATCTCTGTCCAGGCTTTCTGGCCCTCGAGATGCCCAGCCCCCCATAGTCTTGTCTTCCGGAGTCAGACCCCCGGCCTGGGAGGTGTGTAAGCTCGTGATTACAAACTCCGCCTCAGTGAGATCACCTGTGTTTGTTTTCCGGCCTCCACTACCCCCGGATCTTGGCAAAGCCATTCGGTCTTTCTGTAGGATCAGTGCCTAGCACCTGTGAGGGGTCCAGCCTGCTCTGTCTTCTCTCATTTTGAACACACGTGCCTGAGCCTAGACCCTGGGCTTAGACCTGCCTTGACTTCACCCCTAATACTTCTGGGGACTCAAATTTTGCTCCTGACCTCTGTTTCTCTGGCTGAATCCCCTCTCTCAGAAAGGCTATCTACACTCATTTTTTCTTGTTTTGAAAATTTGTCTCTATCAAGGGGTTGGTAGAGTATGGCCTGTGAGCCATGTATGGCTCACTGCCTGTTTCTGCAAATAAAGTTTTATTGCAACACAACCATGCTCATTTAGTTACATATTGTCTTTGGCTGCTTTCCTGCTACAACAGCGACTGAATAGTTGTGACAGAGGAGTTATGGCCCCCTAGCCTAAAACATTCACTATCAGGCCCTTTACTGAAAAAGCTTACTGTTCCTCATCTGTATGGTTGAATTAAGTCCTGTAAAAAAGATATGTTGAACTCTCCAATACCTCAGAAAGTGGTCTTATTTGGAAATAGGGTCTTTATAGAGGTAACCAAGTTAAACTGAGGTCATTAGGGTGAGCCCTACTTCAATATGACTGTTGCCCTTATAAAAAAGGAAATTTGGACACAGAGTATATTTAAAACTTTCTTTTTAATGTTTATTTACTTTTGAGAGAGAGAGAGAGAGAGAGAGCATGAGCCAGGGAGAGGCAGAGAGAGAAGGAGACACAGAATCCGAAGCAGGCTCCAGGCTCCGAGCTGTCAGCACAGAGCCCGACGCGGGGCTTGAACCCATGAACCACGAGATCATTACCTGAGCCGAAATCGGACGCTCAACTGACTGAGCCACCCAGGTGCCCCTGGACACAGAGTGTATTAATTGTATTTTCTTATTTTCTGGATTCTTGATGCTCTGACATCTGAAGCTTCAGTGACTGGGGTGAAGCTGCCCTCCCATGATTGGCCAATTCCCAGAGATAGCAAGGGACTTACACAGAGACCTGCCTTGCAAACTAAGCATTCCAGAGCCCACACTTCACCTCCTCCATCTGGCTCTCACATCCCAGGAGGGAATATTCCTAGTCACCTTGAGGCCAAGTACTAGCCATCTAGAGACCATCCCCACGGCCCAGAGCTTGCCAAAATTATTCTAACTGTCCAATCCTAAGCCTCCTCAGCTTGCTCACCTTGCCTTCCTCCTCCCTTCCCGTGAAAACCATAATGAGTACTCTTTTTTTTAAAGCTTCTTTATCTATTTTTGAGAGAGAGAGAGAGAGAACAAGCGGGGGAGGAGCAGAGACAGGGAGAGACTGAGTCCCAAGCAGGCTCTTCGTTGTCAGTGCAGAGCCCCATGTGGGGCTTGAACTCACGAAATGTGAGATCATACTCTGAGCCAGAATCAAGAGTTGGGCACTCAACCGACTGAGACACCCAGGTGCCCCACAAACCATGTTTTCAATGGCAATCATCCCCTGATCTGTTGGCTCACCATACTCGAATAAAACCAAAATCCCAGGTGCATTTTATCTGCACCCCCCACCCCCACCTTTTTTTAAAGTCGTCTCCACACTAGGCGTGGGCTCGAACTCACAACCCTGAGATCAAGACCTGAGCTGAGATCAAGGTGGAATGCTTAACTGAGTCACCCAGACGCCTCCCCAGCTGCATTTTAGAAATGGACGGACACACCTGGAGGGAAAATAATGTGAAGACATAGGGAAGAGCCATGTGAACATGGAACATTGGGGTGATGTAGTTACAAGCCAAAGAATACCTGAGGCCACCAGAAGATGAGAAAGGCATGGGGCAGTTCCTTCCCTAGCACCTTCAGGGGGAGCAGGACTCTGCCAACACCTTGATTTTAGCCTTCCAGACTCTAGAACCAGAGACAATAAATGTCCGTTGTTTTAAGTCGTTCAGTTTGCGGTACTTTGTTATGCTGGCCTAGGACGCTAATATACCACCTGACAAACGATTTTGTTTTGTTTTCTTTATTCTGTCTTGTTCTTTTACATAAAACATCTCTATGGTGTCCTATCCTTTCATGCGCGTTACTGCATCTGGGTATCATGAGGTGGTCGCGTCAGCGGGTTAACTCAGGACTGAGGCTCAATGACCTCAGGGGACCATACAAGGTCACCCCACAGGCAGCAAGTGCGGACAGAACTGGTCTTTAGTCTCATTATGTGCTTTCCTTACATTATTTTAGGCCCCACCCCCACAATTAACCTGAGGACCAGGTGCTGAGCAATTATGCTAATAATCGGATAGCTATGAACTTAGAAAGGATACTTTCTTCTCGCCTCAGCCTCGCTTTCCGGTCTCTACTTGGCTTGTAAAGGCAGAACTACATTAGGACGTCAGACACCTGCAGCGTTGTACTTTCAGGTGCAGTACAAGGGACGTCCAAGCCTGCACCCACTGCGGAAGTTCTTCAAAGGACGATGCTGACCTTATCAGCGTGTGGTAAAACAAGGTAAAAGAGCCCCAAAGTCCCCTTCTGTGGCCCCTGTGGGTTGTGGTGGGGGTCCGAGGAGTGGAGAATGGAGAGGGTCTGGGGCTGCTCCAGTGTGCCACACTGTTGTGAAAGCTGGGGCTGATTCTGGTCAAGGCTTGGTCTGGATGCTGTGGGTTCCCCCGACCTCTGATGCCGTGTGCCCATCCATCACCTGAGATTCTTTTTATTTTTTTAATTTCATTAAAAAAATTTCTTTCTAGCGAAATATCACAATTTCATCATTCAGTGTGGCATGTTGTGTTTTGACTCCTATTGTTTCCTCTGAGTTAATCGGCAAAGGGTAGCAGTTTGCTGGGGGAATGACGCAAATATATGGAAGCTTCATGAATTTGCACGAATTGTACGGGGCCAGGCTAATCTTCTCTGTATTGTTCCAATTTTAGTATATGGGCTGCCAAAGCGAGCACTAATTTCATTTTATGTTTTTCAGCATGTTAAGTGTACTCTTTAATCCCCATCCCCAGTCCCCGCCCCCATCTCCCCTCTGGTAACCAACAGAGTGTTCTCTATTAAGAGTCTGTTTCCTGGTTTGCTTTTTTCCCCTTTGCTTGTTTATTTCGTTTTTTAAATTCCACATATGAGTGAAATCATATGGTATTTGTCTTTCTCTGACTTGACTTCACTCAGCATTATACTCTTTAGCTCCATCTATGTTGTTGCAAATGGCAAGATTTCATTTATTTTGATAGCCGAATAATATTCCATTGACTATGTACCATATCTTTATCCATTCTTTAGTTGGTGGACACTTGGGCTACTTCCATAGTTTGGCTATTGGAAACAACGCTGCTGTAAACATAGGGGTGCAGGTATCCCTCTGAGTTACTGTGCTTGTGTTTTTTGGGTAAACACCCAGTGGTGTGATTCCCGGATCATAGGGTAGCTCTATTTTTAATTTTTTGAAGAAACTCCATATTGTGTTCCACAGCGGCTGCACCAACTTTCATTCCCACCAACAGTGCAAGAGTGTTCCCTTTTTTCCACATCCTCACCAACACTTGTTTCTTGTGTTTTTGATTTTAGCCATTCTGTCAGGTGTGAGGGGATATCTCATTAGAGTTTTGATTTGCATTTTCCTGATGACAGTGATGTGTGGGGAATAAGCTTAGGGATTCCCTGAGTTAACAAGGCACATAGGAATGAATAGGAAGCCTCAGGATGAAAGCATAAGAATCGTTTATCAAGATCTAGGTCGTCAGGGCAGAAGCACCCCTCACCTCCCCACTCCTCCAGCCCCTTAGTATAATAGCAGAAAGCTGCTTTCACAGGAGGAAAGGACCAAAATAGGTAAACGAGTAAACGGGCTATAGACCACAGGAGGGAGAAGTTGCCCAGAGCAGAGCTAATTAGCAAAAGAAAGGTGCCTTGTTGACCCTGAGGTAGCAGGCACTATCAAGTCTATCCCCTAGGCAAGCTAAGATAAACAGATGAGGTGCCTCCTGCCTTCCATAAACAACCATATCCTTGGTGCCTGGATTTTGTTTTGTACTGACCCAAACCCCTAACACCCCATATCTTCAAAATCCCCTTTCTCCCACCCACATGAGTTAATGTTCACGGTTTCATTGTCTCTTTCTGCACGTTCATCACATTTGTAAGCCTTCTGATCCTAATAAAAACTGAGCAAGGACACTTACTCAGGGCTCTTGTCTCCTCCAGGACATTAGCCTCTCTCGCATTTTAATCCTGCCTCCCCTCTCTTGCTGGACAAGAGAGAACTCCAGACCCAGAGTCTACGACGATGTTGAACATCTTTTCATGTGTCTGTTGGCTCTCTGTATGTCTTCTTTGGAGAAATGTCTGTTCATATCTTCTGCCCATTTTTTAATTGGATTATTTGTTTGTTTTGTTCTTTTTTTGGTGTTGAGTTGTATCAATTCTTTGTATGCTTTGGATACTAACCTTTTATTGAATATGCCAGTATCCTCTCCCAAGCAGGAGGTTGCCTTTTAGTTTTGTTGATTGTTTCCTTTGCTGCACAGAAGCTGTTTGTCTTGATGAAGTCCCAATACTTTACTTTTGTTTTTATTTCCCTTGACTCAGGAGACATATCTAGAAAAATGTTGCTTTGGCTGATGTCAGGGAAATTACTGCCTATGTACTCTTCAAGGATTTTTATGGTTTTGGTATCACATTTAGGTCTTTGATCCATTTTGAGTTTATTTTGGTGTATGGTGTAAGAAAGTGGTCCAGTTTCATTCTTTTGTACGTTGCTGTCCAGTTTTCCCATCACCATTTGTTGAAGAGACTGTCTTTTTCCCATTGTATATTCATTCCTCATTTGTCAAAGATTAGTTGACTATATAATTTTGTGGTTTATTTCTGGGTTTTCTGTTCTATTCATTTGATCTATTTGTCTTTTTTTATGCCAGTACCATACTGTTTTAATTACTATTGCTTTGTAATATAACTTGAAATCTGGAATTGTGATACCTTCAGTTTTGTTTTCAAGATTGCTTTGGCTATTTTGAGGTCTTTTGTGGCTCTATACAAATGTTAGGATCATTTGTTCTAGTTCTGTGAAAAATGCTATTGGTATTTTGATAGGGATTACATTAAATCTGTAGATTGCTTTGGGCAGTATGGACATTTGAACAATATTAGTTCTTCGCATCTATGAACATGGAATGTCTTTCCATTTCTCTGAGTCGTATTGAGTTTCTTTCATCAGTGTTTTGTGGTTTTCAGACACCTCTTTGGTTAAGTTTATTCCTAGGTATTTTGTTGCTTTTGGTACAATTGTAAATGGAACTGTTTTCTTAATTTCACTTTCTGCTGCTTCATTACTCATGTATAGACCTGCAACAGATTTCTGTACACTGATTTGTATCCTGAGACTTTGCTGAATTCATTTATCAGTTCTAGTAGTTTTTTGGTGGAGCCTTTAGGGTTTCTTATATATGATATGTCGTCTGCAAATAATGAGAATTTGACTTCTTCCTTACCAGTTTGGATGCCTTTTTTTTTTTTTTTTTTTTTTAATGTTGTCTGATTGCTGTGGCTAGGACTTCCGGTACTATGTTGAATAAAAGTGGTGAAAATGGACATCCTTTCTTTTTCCTGACCTTAGGGGAAAAGCTCTCAGGTTTTCACCGTTGAGTATGATGTTGGCTGTGGGTTTTTCATAAAAGGCCTTTATTACATTGAGGTATGTTCCCTCTAGACCTACTTTGCAGAGAGTTTTTATCATGAATGGATGGTGTACTTTGTTGAGTGCTTTTTCTGCATTTATTGAAATGATCATACGGTTTTTATCATTTCTCTTATTGATGTGACATTATCATGTTGATTGTTTTGTGAATACTAAACCACCCTTGCATCCTGGGAATAATCCCACTTGATTGTGGTGTATGGTTTTTAAAATATATTGTTGGATTCAGTTTGCTAATATTTTGTTGAGGATTTTTGCATCTATATTCATGAGAGATGTTGGCCTGTAGTTCTCTTTTTTTGTGATGTGTCTTTATCTGTTTTTGGTATCAGGCTGATACTCACCTCACAGAATGAATTTGGAAGTCTTCCTTCCTCTTGTATTTTTTTGAATAGTTTGAGAAGAATGGTTATTAACTCTTCTTTAAATGTTTGATAGAATTTGCCTGTGAGGCCAGCAGGTCCTGGGCTTTTGTTTGTTGGGAGTTTTTTTGATTACTGATTCAATTTCATTGCTGGTGATTAGTCTGTTCAAATTTTCTTTTTCTTCCTGCTTTAGTTTTGGTAGGTTATACGTTTCTGGGAACTTATACATTTCTTGTAAGTTGTTCAATTTGTTGGCATGCAGGTTACAATTCTGTTACAATTGTTTTATTTCTATGGTATTGGTTGTTATCTCCTTTTTTTTATTAGTAATTTTGTTTATTTGGGTCCTCTCTCTTTCTCTCTCTCTCATCGATTTTGTTGATGTTTTCAAAGAAACAGATCCTGATTTCGCTGATCTGTTCTATTGGTTTTTTTAGTTTCTGTATCATTTATTTCTGTTCTAGTCTTTATTATTTACTTCTTTCTCCGGGTTTGGGGTTTTGTTTGTTCTTTTTCTAGCTTCTTTAGGTGTCAGGTTAGGTGGTTTGATATTTGTCTTGCTTCTTGAGGTATGCCTGCATTGCCCCCCTGCTTTCATTTCGCTTCACCCTTTTGTTCTCCTGCCATTGCCTCCTCACCTTCCAAGCTTGGCTTGGGATGTGAGCAACCTTCCCAACAGCCCCAGGAAGAGCTGGCTACTCCCCCACTGTTCTGCCCCAGCCCCTGGTACACAGAGTTCTGTTAGCACATATCCCACTGCATTATAATGACCTGTTTAGAGGTGTACCTCCCTTACTAGACAGCCCAAGGAAAGGGATCCTGTTTTTACATTTACATTAATATCATGTTTTACATTTAAATGTCTCTTCCCTTGCATAGCAGAACTTGGTTATTACCAGCTATCCCAATTCTTGATGAATAAATGATTCAACCAGTTAGCCAAACTAGAATTCCTCTGAAGTTCATTAGTCTTTGCTAACGGCGTCCCCCCCTGTCTGAACCAATTATGACTCTTGGATAGCCACAAAATTGTCACAGGTGTTAAAAGAGATTCTTGCATCCGTGATCTCTGTTTCTTCCTTGTGCAGTTGTTACAAAGATTCTTCTACATCAAGAGTATTTTGTAAAGTTATGCCAAGATTCTGGGGACCACAGATTGGGGAAGCCATTCCATTTGGGATATTATCCTCATTTTATAGATGAGAACATCGAGTGTCTGCAGGTCAGGTCTCACGGCCAGTCAGGGATGATGATGGCATTGGGGGCTGGCCCTTCTGGCTCTGTAGCTCTTATCATCACACAGGGCTGGGCTGGGGTGGGGTCCATGACCTCGGCCTCTTTTGCTGGCAAACATTGTTCAGAATATGACTCAGCATATGATTCCTCTGTGTGTGTGTGCACGTGTGTGTATGTGCACGAGGGAGAGAAGTAGCAAAGGCTCAGCGAACTTCCTCTCCTTTGTGCACTGAGTGTGGAAAGTGCTCACTGCCACTGGGTGTTGCTAGCTGAGGTGGAGGAGGATAGAAAACAAGAGAAGAAAATCAGAGTGTGTCCAGCGTGAGAGAAGAAGCAGGGGGTGAAAGATGAGAAGGAAAAGGACAGAAGAGGCCTAGGGACACCCATCTATACCCCTGCATCCCTCTCTTGCCTCCACATTCCCCCTGAAACAAGCTGAAGGACGTGGCACTGTCCTGGCTGCTGTGACGATGGTTCTAAGCCTGCCCAGCTTGGTTCAGCCTTAGCAGGAAGAAGCAGGTGTAAGCCGGGGCCTGCAGCTACCTGGGGCTGTGGGAAAGCCTGGGGTGAAGGGGTACCACTTGGTCAGGAGCCCCTGAAGCTGGGGTTGGGGAGAGGCTCAGGAGGGTGGGTAGGAGGCCTCTATTACAGACCCAGCAGCGGACAGATGTCAATGCAAAAGGGCTGAGGAGCAGGTCTGCCCTTCCTGCCTGCGGTAGGCTGAATAATGGTCCCCCAAAACGCCCATGTCCTAACCCCCGGAACCTGTGAAGGTTACCGCACATGGCAAAGGAGACTTTACAGATGGCATTGAGTTAAGAATCTTGAGATGGGGAGATTAGCCTGGAGGATCCACGTGGGCCCCTAAGTAGCTGCAAGGTTCTCGAAGCACATGGTGGGGCAGAAGCAGCTTCCTTCATCTGATGCAAATGTACTGAACACCTAGTACATGAGGCGGCTCTGGGGGCCTGGGACGCAGCAGTGAAAACACAACACAAGGTTCCTGCCCTCGTGGTGTTCACAGTCCAGTGGAGGAAGACGGGGAGACAAGAGGCAAGTACCTGTATGTCAGAGGTTGGTAAGTGCTGGGGAGACAGCAAGGTGAGGGCGAGGGAAGTGCTGGGGAAGGGATAAGGTGGTCAGGGAAGGCCTGAGAAGATACAGTTCGGGCCACAGAGATCTCTGAAGGAAGTAGAACATTCCAGGCAGGAAGAATAGCAGGACACAGGCTTGGGGCAGGACACTTTCCAGGACAGCAAGGAGCCCAGTGAGGCTGGCGTGGGCTGAGTGGTGGGGCAGTGATAGGAGTTGAGTGTGTGTGGAGGCAGAGGGTGGATGGCGTGGGGCCTCGTGGACTTTAGGCCACTTGCCAAGGGAGCCCTGGGAGGGTTTTGAGAGGAGGAGTGAACTGGTCTGAGTGTTAAAAGGATCTCTCTAGGAGACCCGATACCCCCTTTATTTGTTTGGCAGCTGCACCTGCTAAACTGTAGTCCCTCAGCTAAATCAGGGGAAAGACAAAGAAACCAGTCTTTGTGGCTCCATCCTTGGTCCTCTTACCCCACTTCTCATTAGTGGAACCACCTGTCCGTGCATGGCATATGCATGGTCCTCTCCCCTCTTCTTTTGCAGGGCGGTTCCCTGCCCACCTCCTACCTCATCAGTCATTTACACTTTAGTGAGGTCAAGGATGTGTATCCCATTACTGTCTCTAAGGTTATGAGTTGAATTGTGGCACCCAAAAGATATATTGAAGGCCTAATTTTCCAGTACCTCAGAATGTGACCTTATTTGGAAATAAAGTCACTGCAGATGTAATTTAGTTCAGATAAGGTCATACTAGAGTAGGGAGCACTCTTGTTGCAATATGATTGGTGTCCTGGTAAGAGAGGGACGCCGAGGATTGCTGGAAACCCCTCACAGCTAGGAAGAGGCAAGGGAAGATCCTCCCCTAGAGAACTCAGAGGGAGTATGACCCTGCCAGCACCCTGATTTCAGACGTCCAGCCTCCGGAACTGTGAGAGAACAAATTTCTGTTGCTAAATTTAAGCCACCCAGGCTGTGGCACTTAGTTATGGCAACCTGAGGAAGCCAATGCCAGGGATATTATCTTTTTTAGAGACATTCTTCTAATTGCGATGCTCTGTTTTGGGGGCATCCTGGAGCTGCATGAGAATTCAGAAGGGCCTATTTCTCTCCACGGCCGGGGTATGCTTACTTCCGGGGAGTTGGGCAGCAGGGGAAGAGCCCAGCTGGACCTCCGCCCCACTGCTGGGTGGGGTTTGGCTGCGGACCCCGAGTGTGGGTTTGGGAAGAGGAAGATGTAGGGGTGTCAGTCCCGGGCTGTGGCAGAGAGGGCAGATGAGGGGGACCTAAAGCTTGAGGACATCAGATGCCCAAACCTTGCCTTTTATTTATCTGAAGATACAACTGTCCATAGCTTTTAATTATTGAGCCTTTCTCTGTGCAGGTCTGTTCACAGGTCAGGGACACAGAGTGATCAAAACAGAGTGCCCTTCAAACAAACACTTGCATGCAAATATTAATTGCAACGTCACTTAAAATAGTGGAAGTTACAAACGACCCAAATGTCCATCAGCTGACCAATGGCTAAAGAAAACGCGGCATATCCATACGTGGAGTAGTGTCCAGCCATAAAAGAAACAGAATAGTGCTTTGATCTACAACACGCATGGGCCTCGAAAACATTATGGTAAGTGAAAGAAGTCAGACACAAAAAGCCACATGTGGTATGATCCCGTTTATATGAAATGTCCACAGTCCACGGAGACAGAAAGCACATTAGTGATTGCCAGGGGCTGTGTGTGGGAGGAACGGACAGTGACTGGTTAATGGGTCCAGAGTTTCCTCTCGAGGTGATGAGAATGTTCTGAAACTCGGTGGTGGTGATGGTTGTACAATCTTGTAAAAGTATGAAATGTCATGGAATTGTACACCTTAAATGGTAGATTTTATGTTATTTTACCACAGGTATACATGAAACCCAGAGTTCCTGCCCCTGCATTCAAGTGAGAGGAGACAGATGATTAACAAATAAATATATATTTAAGGTAAGTGCTGTGAAGACAAAGCAGACAGGCTAAGGTACAGAGAGTGACAGGGAGGTGCTATTTTAGCCAGCGGTTGGCCTTTCTGAGCAGGGTGCCGGTGGGAAAGCTGAGGAAATGGCCAAGAGGAGACCCTTCAGCCCATGGAAGCAGAAAGGGCAAAGACCCTGAGGCAGAATCAGGCCAAGGGTATTGGGAACCGAGCTGCAGAAAGAGGGGCATGCAAGTGATGAGATAAGGGGAGAAGAGGCAGGAGGCCCGAGTGGGGGTTGGGGGGCTGGAAGGGCCTGTTGTCCGGAGTGCCCCGGGACCCTGAGGAACCCAGGCAGGATAGTGAAGGGAGCAAGCGTAGACGTCAGGAGGCTGTTGCATGGGCATTCGTGTCTGCAGAATGAACAGGCCCAGGAGACTGTAAGGCTTGCTTTGGATGTCAAGCAATCTAATGAGAGCTCTACCAGGGGCATCTCCTGTCTGGGTGACCATGCAGCACAATCTCGACCAAGGTGATATATAACCGGGTGAGGAGTTTTTGCTTTCTGAGTGCATTGCCTAGGTGTGTTTATTTTTCATTCAGGTTCATATTGAGCAGCATAGTGTATTTCACATAGTGGGTCTCCTGCCATCCCTCTGCCTGGGGCTCCCTGACCCCATCACCCTGCTTTCTCCTTCCCCGTTGCACTTATCACTGCCCCACACGGGTATATCCGTAGCTGTCATGGTTAATTTCCATGTCGGCTTGGCTGTTGTACCTGGTTATTCAATCAAACACTAACCTACTGCTGTTGTGAAGGCATTTTATGCATGTGGGAACGTGTACAATCCGTTAACTTTAAGGAAGGAGATGCTCGTTCTAGCTTGGGTGGGCCTCATCTAATCAGTTGAAAGGTCTTAACTGCAAAACTGAAATTTCCCAGTGGAAGAAGAAATTCTGCCTCAAGACTGCAGCCTCAGCACCAGCCTGAGTTTCCAGCCTGCCAGCCTGCCCTACAGATTTCACTTGCCAGTCCCCACAATCACATGAACCAATTCCTTGAAATAAATCTCTCTATACCCATACGTATACATGCACACATACGTATTTCCTACTGGTTCCATTTGTCTGGAGAACCCCGACCGATGTGTTATCTCACTATTTACCCCCCCCCCCCCCAGATGCAAGTGCAAGGACTTGCCTGTTTTCTTCCTAGCTGTGTCCCCCAGAACAGTGCATGGCAATAGGTCAGTTGTTAGTGTCTAATGGATAGTTCTTCATAATTCTTGTTTATTTGTGTGGTTGTTGGATCCGTTTGAAAATCAACAGAGAAAGAAAAAAAAAGAGGAGGGAAGAAAAGAGGCACATGAGTCTCATCTGAGCTGGGGATTTCCTTGTGGGGCCCAGGGCTGTGGGTCCTGCTGTTGAGTGGGTGTCTGTTTGCAGCTGAGGAAAAGGTGCGCCTGGGAAGAGAGGTTGCAAATTTAAACTCAAGTTCAGATTCTCCTAGCAACGGTGCGCGCCCTCCGGCTGCTGGCTGGGGTAACCCAAGCACCAAACAGTGCAGCTGGGGCAGGTCCCGTTGCTAGGAGAACAATGACTCCTGCTCGGATGGGAGGGGCGAACAGAGTGGGTGTTGCCCTTTGTTTCCCAAGTAATTGTTTTAAAGCAAGGTGTGCCAGGAGCCAGCAGTGCGGGAATGAGGAACAAGGCTTGAGCCCTGATTTTTGTTTTTTTGTTTGTTTAGGAACTAGTGGTTAGTGCAAAGCCTCTTGTTTGAGAATATATCCCAAATGGGTTTGCAATTAGGGACAGAATCTGTAGGAGCTGAGGAAGCAACCAATTCCCCATACTGTTTGGTTCTCAGCCTCCACAGGCCATCTGCGTCAGAGCAACAAGTGTGGGATTGGGGGTGGGGTGGAGGAATGAAAAGGATCAAGCTGGCTTTGGTTGGGGCGGGGAGGGATTTGGGTTTCCAGATTTTGTGTTTATTTAAATACATTCACAGACCATCCTGATCTCAACCCTGTACGGTGCCGTGAGGTTGGGGCATGGGAGAAGAGGAGGAGGGGGGCCGTGTTCCCTTCATGATCTCCTTTTACATGTGTTCCCTCCAACTGGTCACCACCCTGTGTCACCACTTGCACTTTGCAAAAGAGGAAGCTGATGCAGAAGGCGTGAGAAGTCTGAGGAAGAGACAAAGCTGAGAGGTGGGTCCAGCTCTGTCCCATTCCCAAACCACCTTCTTTCTCCTCGGCTGCCGAGGTGCAATGGGTCATCATCTGATGTAGGCTTGGAGGGGGACACCTGGGGCCCTGTTTTGGGGCTATTTTCTGAGAGCATGTCCTTCAGAAAATACATTCAAGTTCCCTTCTAGAGAAGCCTCTGCTTCAGGAGTAGGTCACACAGTAGGCTGTGTTCATCGAACTGATTTTATTTTCCTCTTGGACATTTGGAAAGACTCTTCCTGAGCTTCCAGGGTAGTAAGGTGGTGTTATGGGACTGAGCTTCTGGCCAACCCTAGAGGCTAAACAGACACACACCCCTGCCCAGCATGGTCCTAAAGCCTGTCTTCCTAAAACTTCCGTGTGCTTTCTTCCCACCTTCTGGGTGGGTGCAGAGGACCCGGGTGGGACCCCAAGGCCCAGGAAGATGGTGGAGCCACTAGGAAGGAGCCTGGTTTTCTGAATGATTTCATGAAGCAGAATATCCCTCCCCCTGACATATAGGATTACGAATGAGAAACAAGCCTGTGTTGTATTGAGCCCTTGGCTTGGGAGACCGTATGTTACAGCAGTCAGGCTATGGTGATTCCTATATAGCGTATAGGAGGGTGTGGGATGACACCATTTTTGTTGAGGTCACCTGGCTGGCTCGGTAGGAAGAGCATGTGAGTCTTGATCTCAGAGTTGTGAGTTTGAGCCCCACGTTGGGAATGCAGATTACTTAAAAATAAAATCTTGGGGCGCCTGGGTGGCGCAGTCGGTTAAGCGTCCGACTTCAGCCAGGTCACGATCTCGCGGTCCGTGAGTTCGAGCCCCGCTTCAGGCTCTGGGCTGATGGCTCAGAGCCTGGAGCCTGTTTCCGATTCTGTGTCTCCCTCTCTCTCTGCCCCTCCCCCGTTCATGCTCTGTCTCTCTCTGTCCCAAAAATAAATAAATGTTGAAAAAAAAATTAAAAAATAAAATAAAATCTTAAAAAAAATCATTTTTGTTGGAGGAGGGGAGAGCGTGATATTTGGCAGAGGTGTTTCCATAAGTAGGTGGGGAGGGGCCTCCTGCTGGCAGAGGGCTCTGGTTTAATTAGCCACCCTAGACTGGGAAGAGGGAGCCAGTGTGTGTGAGCGTGCGTGTGTGTGTGTGTGTGTGTGTGTGTGTGTGTGTGTACTGAAGTAAGCACCTTCTGATGAGGCCCTTTCTGAACTAAAGAAAATAATTATAATAATAGTTAACAGTAATAATAATAGCACCTAAAGGTAATAATTATAATAAAAGTTAATCTTGTATCACATACTCACTTTTCCAAGTGTTTTACATGGATTATTTTGTTTAATCTTCATCCCAATGAAGTAGGAACTATTAATGTCATCCCCATTTTATAGGTGAGGAAACTGAGGCCAACAAAGATGCAGAACTTTCCCAGTGTCACCAGAAAGTAAGTGGCAGAGCCAGGACTGGAGGACTGGAGGAAAGGTATGCTGGCGATCGAGCCGGCTGTCTGTCTTTCTAGAATGTGCTCTAACCCTTCTTGAGGGTGAGGAATTCTTCCCCACCTCATTGTCTAGAACAAAGGCAGAAGTAATTTGGGAGGCTTAGGTGTCCCAGGTTGGTAAGGAAGCCATGCCATTTATCTTGTCTGAGAAGATGCCCTCTGGAATGTTTCCAGGAATGTTTGGCAAAGGGGCTCTGGGGGGAGGGGAGCAGGACAGCTGGGGAGGGAAGGGGCCGGCATGTGTTCATTGCAGGTTTAAAGAGAGGGTGTTGGCTAGACCCACGCTCAGGCAGAGGGAGGCCGAGGGAGCAGAAAGGCGCTGGACACGGACTCCTTGGAGCCCAATACTTCCCAGGATGCTCCAGGTCGCCTGCAGAGCAGGCTCTCGGTAGGAGGACCCCTGGCTGTCCTTTCTGCGCAGTGTCCTAGGAAGGACAGGTCCAGCAGGCAGAAAACCCAACGGGCACATCTTTATAGCTTATACGAGAGGTGCTCAGAGTTTGTTGACTGCACGTCACAAATACTTGTAAAAGGCCTTCCGTGCGCCAGGAGAGGTACTAGATGCTGGGGATGCCACAGTGAGCAAAACGACACGGCCCTTGCCTTGACGAGGCCTTCAGTCTGGATTCCAGATGCTGAATGTGGTGCTGGAGGGTGAGCCAGAGGTCATGGGCACCACAGAGGTGGGCTGCGGTGGGGAGGGGGCTCAGAGGAGGAGAGTCTGGAATCCTCTCCAATGCCAAGCCCTGCCATCTGACTGGGGAGGCTCTGTTTCCCTGCAAGTGTTTTCAGACAGCTGGAGACTGTGGGTAGCTGTGGTCTGGCTTTAAGCACTGATAAGTGCATTTCAGAGGTGGGTGAGGCAGAGGGAAGGGGGCCTCAGTGGGCTGGCTTCCCCGAGAGGGAGCCACAAGGGGAGTTCTTGACTGGGAATGTGGATAATTCTTTTTTAGGACCAGCAGAAACTATGCCCAAAACAGGCCCTTTCCATATTTGATGTCACTTTGGGATCTCCATTAGATTTGCTTAGTGCCACAGGCATTCCGATGGACCCGAAGTCTTGCATTAAACTAGGAAAAACATTATCACTGGTTGGTCTGGAGCCCAGAGATAGGATTTGCTGTCTGGGGCACTGCACGGAGGCAGCCTCCCTCAGCCACGGACTCTAGCACTTTCTTGAGCAGGAACATTCCATGGTGTAAGCGTTTTCTCTTTGACTGATGTGTTCAGAGAGGGAGCAGCCCAGCTGGGCTTGCGGCTGTGTCCCCCGTTAATTTAAGCCAGCTCAGGAATGCAGAATCTCCCTCATTTTCATGTTCCCTGTAAGCTCTGGGACTCCCACACACTCTACCCGTTAAGTTTAGCACGACCTGTATAACTCACAGGTGAGGGGGCCAACTTCTGAAAATATCCCTTCGGCTCTCCTCTCTCCTGAGCTCCAGCCCTCTGTTCCTGGCTGCTTTCTGGATGTCCCGCCACACTTCAAAAGCAGCGTGTCCTTCCTTCACTCAACCATCATTTATAAAGAGTCTTCTCTGGACCAGGGCCTGCTAGGGGTGGGAGATAGAGTCAAAGAAGAGATGCCCCCCCCCCCCCCATGGTGTGGAGAGTCTGTTCAACTGGTCACCTGCTTCCTCCACTAGACCCAGCATGCCATGTGAGCAGGGGCCGCACTCACTCCCCAGTATGTTCTCAGGTACTAGAACATGATAAGTGCCCAATAAACGTTGTTGCCTCCATGTTAAATAAACACCTGTCCTCAAAAGGCTTCGGGGTGATGGGGAAACAGAGCAGTGAACCAGCAATTGTAGTTCACGCAGCACCAGTGTTAGGGAGGAGGTAAGCAAGAGGGGATTTAGCTAAGCCCTTGAGGTGGGGCTCAGGGGTGGCTTCCTGGAGGAGGCAGTGCTTGAGCTGAGACTGGAAGTGGAAGCGAGAGACACTCTGGATATTGATGGAAAGCCGTGCCGGCATGGACTGGAGGTGGGTCCTGGGGCAGCGGTAGGAGGTGAGGTAGAGAGGCCCAGGGGCAGGTGGCCAAGTTTACGTTCGGCAAACCAGCCCCACCTTCCCTGACCTCCTGTTTTTGGTGGAGGGCACCCCTGTCCTCCTGGAGACCTTCTAGCAACCCTCCACAGTCTGTCTTCTCTCTTCCTTCGGGTTCTAGTCCTTTGGGTTCTGTGCTTGCCCTCCCCCCTGGCGCCCCTGCTCTGGTTCCACTGCCCCGCCCTTACCTTCTGCTTGTCTGGGTCACCATGCAGGCCACCTGACTGGTCCTCCTGCCCTTGTCTGGTTTGGCTCCAATCTATCCCATGCGCTTCTGCCAGATTCTTCTTTCTAGAGCTCAGTCCTGACCACAGCCCTCTTTGCTCCGTAGCTTTCAGTGGCTCCAGGTGCCTTAGTAAATTAGGGGGAAATGTCTTGTCCCAGCGTTTCAGGACTCCAGCCTGTAGCATCTACCTAACTTTCCAGAATCTTCTTCCATTGTTCACATTCATGCAGCCAGCACCAAACTGGACTCTTGACGCTTCTCCAACCACAGCCAAGTTCCTTCTGCCTGGAATGCCTATTCCCATGTCCCCAAATGTCTGTGGGGTCCTATATACCTTTCAAGGCCAATCTTAAACTCTGCTGTCTCTGTGAGGCCTTTCCCAACTTTCTGATATTCTAGCTCTTACCTTGAATTGTAGCACAGTCTAACTCTAACCTACCTGCTGAACTGCTTCTTCCGGAGCATGGGGTGTTATTATTAAAGGTATTGGCAGTAGGAGGGGGCTAATAATGTGTTATGGCCAGAGGACCCAGGCAGACCTAAAAACCCAGCAAGCACTGCCCACAAAGTCTCAGATGGTGACCTAGAGTAAGAGGAGTGAAGAAAGGAGAGTCACACCTGATAGCACACCCCACTTGGCAAACTGGGATGAGCCTGGGGGGCCTTGTTCTCTCCAAATTTCTGCTCTTTCTGTGCTCTGGCCAGTCACATAGAAGAACAAGGGAGAGAGCCTGGGCCACCGAACTGTACCAACTGAATGGAAGGGCGGGCCAGGCCAGCCACTCCCCAGTCCACATTTTAGGAATAGTCACCACACCCACTGGCAAATATGGGCCAATCACTGCCCTTGTATGTGACTGGTCAGATGAGCATTGCCTTTCCTTAGGACAGAATGACAGGGGAGGGGCGTGCAGGGAGGGAGTCCTGAGAGAGCATCTCGTCTTGCCTAGGAAGTCTCCCAATACCCAGCACAGCACTGAACACCGGGTGCAAGTGATGGGGACTTGTTGAATTAATGAGAAACGAGTACTGCCAGCATGAGCTGGGGGATGGTCTGGATCTGCCCCTGCTTCAGGGTCCAGACCTGGAACCTCTGGGTTCCAGGGTGGAAACTGACATCAGAGGGAGCCCTCTCCCTGCCTCCATGCAAGTACACACACACACACAGCAATACTCAACAAATGCCGATGACCCACTGGGCTTGGAAGCTTCAGGGGCAATGTTTATCAAGGTTCACATCCAAAAATTCTGGAAGATTCTCTGTAAGATCATCAAGAAGAAAGAGATGTTGCACGGCAGCATATGAGCTAAGGGGAAGAGAAGCCTGAGAAGCAGACTCAATCAGGACAAAATCCCTGGGAAGTGGAAACACACGGGCTGTGAGGACAATGAGTGTGACCTCTCTGGCTAGGGAGAGAGGACAAGAGGGGAAGGGAGAAGGGGACCAGTAGGACCTGCATAGGGTCCTGTAGCAAAGGGGACTTTTAAGAGGTGTCTTTACCAGAGGAACTGAAATGCCAAACTCATGTGTGCCCTGACAGGTGCTGGGCCTCTGGTCAGCCTGCCCCAATCCTACCTCCTAAAGCAGATCTTCTTACCCTGCCCGTAGTATAGAGGCTGTGGATGAATGTGGTTGGCTCACTACTCCATTTTGGGGTGGAGTCTGGGGCCAGGCTGCTTCTGATTTCTCTCCCTGACTCTGATGTCAACTCTTATCCTGCCTAGAGGTTCCAGGTGCTGGACTCTGAAGTGGGGACAGCTTTGTTTCTGTGACACTGAACCAATGGTCAGGAGGCCTGGACTCCACCTCTGAGATCCGAATGGGACCAGTGGGTAGATTTGTTCTTATACAGGGGATATGCCTCTGCAGGTAGACTAGGGAAGGTGTTCCTGCAATCTGGATGGCCACCGCTGCCAGGGACATCACTGGCCAAGGTCAGGTCCCGTGATTCTGCGATTCTACCTTTGAAGTGGTTCTGAGTAGGATCCTAGACAACTCTTTTGGCTCCTCCTTCATCTTCCAAATGTTTTAGGGGATCATAACGCCTATTCCACTGGTTTCCTAAAGAGCGAGCTGCCTTCTATATAGTTAAATCATCAAGACATTCTTGATCATTTAAATTTCCCATATGGAACCTTGCAATTTTGGATCTCAACTCTGTGTTCCTTTCTTTCCCCTCCAAAAAGAAATGTCTCATCTGAGGAGTTTTTGATCGTCAGGACTTGAGGAACCTTAAGCAAGTATATTTGTAAAGGCCTGTCGTCACATGGTTACTTACTAAAGTCCTATGGATCAGACACTTTGAATGATGATGGTTTTGTCCTTCCAAATGCTTTCCTCAGCATTCTGTCCTTTGAGTGTCACACACGCCACGTGGGGGGAGTTAGGAGGTGTTTATTTTGATCATCCTTTTTCTCAGGTGTGGAAATGCAGGCACAGGCTGGTGGAATGGAGGTGGGAGGAGCTGGGATAGGAATCTGGACTCTCCAAGCACCACTGATCTGGAGGGAAGCTGCTCCTGGCCTCAGCGCCACGACAGCCCTCTGTCTTGGTCTCCTCACCAGCCCAGGGCCCAGGGGAGGCAGGGATGTCAGGGAGCCTCAGTTTCCAGCCAAGTATTCTCTGGTGGGAGAAGCCTGAGGTAGGGTGGGGGGATGTGAAAGCGCCCCTGCAGACAGCCCTGACAAGGGATCACTGCTTTCCCGCCC